AAGCGTACCCAAGCCTCCCTTAGCTGGGGCTCAGATGACTTCAAAAGGCTGTGCGGCCAGACCTTTTCTATATAACCCAGCCCATATGGCCACTTGCTGTATGTCTGGAAGGCAACAGAGAACGTCCACCATTTCTTGTGTTGGCTGGGCTATTCTTGCTTGGAGACAGGGTGAGACGGTGCTAAGAGACATCCCCTACCCTCAAAAGTCTGCCAGTGAGGAAGGGGACAGGAAGGCAAGCATGTCCCCACTACTGCCCGGGCCCCAGTACCCTGCCCCCAGGGCTCCTGCTCTGCACTCACCCCAACCCAACAAGCCAGATTCACTTCACCCTTGGCCTTTGACTTCAAGCACTTGACTGTTTTTTAAATTGTGGCAAAATACACATAACATAAAGTTAAACATCTTAGCCATTTTCCGTAGCATTAAGTACATTCACAATGCTATCACCACTATCTAGTTCCAGAATTTTTCCATCACCCCCAAAGGAAAGCCTGTACCCATCAAACAATCACTCCCCATTCCTCCCTCCTCCCAATTCCTGGCAACCACTAATCTCATTTCTGTCTCCGGACTCGCTTATTCTGGGCATTTCACATAAATGGAAATCATACGCTGTATGGCCTTCTGTTTCTGGCCTCCTTCACTCAGCATAATGTTTTCAAGGTTCATCCAAGCTGTAGCATTTGTCAGTACTTCATTCCTTTTGATGACTGAGTACTATTCTATTGGATATACCACATTGTATTTATCCATTCTTCCACTGATGGACATTTGGGCTGTTTCTACCGTTGGGCTATTGTGAAGTCAAGCACTTGACCTTCAATCGAGTTCCAGTCTTCAACTCTCTGTTGGATTCAGGATCTAACATCAGCTGCTGGGAAGGCTGTGACGAGGCCACTAGCAGTACCCTCACCTGCCCTGGCCTTGAGTAGTCCCACCTGTTCCCTCCCAAGGTCCCTTTAATAGTTTTCCATCTAGCTGACTCTCCACATTGGTCCTCATGCCGACACCTCACACTGCAAAGTCCACCTTCCCAACGAGGCGCTGACAGAGTCCTTACCTCACCCTCAGCGCACTGTGGTATTTGTATTTTCCATGTTGTTCTGTTGGTTTTTTATTGAGCACTTAGGATAAGCCCACCACTGAATCAAGGGCTTTTCCTGGATCATCCCATTTAATCCCCACAACAACCCTACGAGGCAGGGTTATCATTACCGCGTTTCACAGAGGAGAAAACAAGATCAGACAGAGCTCAGGTCTCAGGCTGCCAATTCAGTGCCCTCTCCTCCCCCCACCCTGCCCCTAACACCTGGCCAATATGCGTTCAAGTCTTATCGGCTCATTTCACACAGTTACCTGGCCTCTTCCCTATCCTGGAAAACAAAAGTCTAAAATGAGAATAATCCAAGCTTCTCCAGGTTGCAGGTCTATATAAACCCCATTTTCTTCCATGAAAAAATGGAGGTGCTGAGAGGCCACCAGGTGTGACATCTCTAAGGTCGCTCCCACCCGCAGGCTGGGGTCCACTGAAACAGCTCGAAGGCACCATGTAGGGCCCTAAACAGTGATGGTCAGGAGAAGACAGGGCTGGGAGAGAGGGCCCGAGACCCCATGGGGAGGTGGGGAGCCCGTGAGGCGGCTCCTCGCTCTTGTACCTCCATCTTGAGTCCAGTTTCCACTCAAAAGACAGCCGTGCCCCTTCATACCAAGGAGGCCAGCGAAAGACCAACAGCCTCTCGCCCTGCTGAGAGGTGGCCCTTCTCCTGGGATTTCTGTGTTCCTGTGCCAACACTCCATTTCCAGGGGAGTCCTACGGGCAGTGATGGGTGGAGTCGGCTCACATGGGCTCTAAGAACCAGTTGTGTGCATCTCTTCCCAACTCTACATTCAAGGACGTCAGGTGGGGGTGGCCTGAAACCAGCCACAAGGGAGTGTTTACACCAGGGCAAGTGGCAAATGCTAGAAATCAGGCCCCACCCCAGGCAGGTGTTAACCATCTAACCAGCGCCTCTGCCCATGGGGACCTCTGCAAGGGGCTGCGGAAGAAGCTGATCATCAGAGGCAGAGGAGAGCAAGCAGGTATTTCTAAAGAAAAAGAAAGCTTAGCAGGAGGTCGTTCCTACCACAAGAAGCCGGCCACTGGTCCTGCCCCTTCATTCTTCAAGGGAGGCAGAAAGGAGAAGTCTTTGTACGTCCAAGGCCTCACAGCCAATGGAGAATCAACCCCAGATCGCCTGGCTCCAAACCAGGGCTCCTCCCAAGTGGCCTCCACAAACCCAAACAACATGCAGATCAACAACTACCGCAGAGCTGATGGAGGCCAAGAGGAGGCAGGGGGCCCTCTTTTTAGCCCTGGGGGTGGAGGTCTCTGCAACCAGAAGGAGGTGGGTTTGGAGTGGGTGGTCCCTATCTCCCTTCCAGCCCATTCCCCTCCTGGGCCCCCAGCCCCAGACCTCCCACGGGCAGTGCGTTCCTCACCTCCTTGCCCCATGACGGGGTCCCAGCCAGCTCAGACAGCAGGTGGATAGCATTCCCTGAGTGAGCTGGCCTTGCAAGGGGATGGGTTCAGGGTGAGGTTATGTCCATCAGCTTTCAAGACAAATTCTCGGTTTATTAATTCTCCTCTGTTACGCAGGCAAAAGTAAATAAGCTTTTCTCAGGCATCCTGGCACAGAGGCCTCCCCTATTTAAACACTGCAAGAATCAACAGGCTTGGAAGTGCTGAGCTCCCAGGCCTGGCTTCCCAGGGGGCCCCCTGGCCTCCTGCCCACATCGTCCTGCCTGCCGAGACAAGGCGCGCCTGGCCTCTCTCGGGTGGCATGGCCTGAGATCTCCAGTGTGAGCATCAGAGATCCTGGGCACCCAGACCACCGGAGAAGGCCCAAACGGGTCTGGCCAAAGCCACAAGCATCACACCTGCTCGCTTAGTCCCTCTGTGAGCAAAGCGCTTTGTAAAGGTGTTTCTTTACTGCTTGCTTCCATTTACATCATGGTTTTAAAGGTTTAAGAAGGAAGAAAGGAAATAAACAGGAACAAAACCAAACGGAGTCAGGAAAGTTAATTAACTAATCAAGAGCTGCTAAGGAAGACTTTTCAAAGTAGGATGCTACAAGTGTCTGTAAGTACTTGCTCAGGCATCTTTTGTCTGACTGAACAGAGATTGTTGCATCCTTTATACCAGCTGCTTGAGGCCTGTACAGAAATCTCATGAGCTATTTTTCTTTTCCCCGCTATGTTTTTTTTTCCATTTGACCCTTTCTGACTTGGAAGAGAAAAAGCCAAAAACCACTGCAAGAACCCTAAAGTCAAGCTGCAAGGACTAGAAAAACAGGAGGCAAGAGAGAGATGCTGAAGATCTGATGGCCTTGACTTTGGAGGAGCTGTGTGCACAGCCCAAAGAGCTTGTCCAGGTGAGTTCTGACATGACTGATGTCACATCAAGAAAGCAAGAGTCAAGACTCCATTAAATGGAAGTGTCTTCGCACTTCAAAACTGCTCTACCCCAGAACTGAACTAACTGGGAATGTTCCTTTGAATTCCATTTTTACAGAAAGCGCTTCCTCATCCCCCATGTCAGCTTCTGTTGTCCCGCCTCCCAGGTACCCAGGACGCTGCTTCCTCCAGCCCCTTCTCATCACGACTTCTCCTGTAAGGGTTCCCTGCAGCTAAACCAAGGGTGACTAAGGACTCTTCCCAACAACCCAAGATCAGAATATCTTTGGTTTTCCCCAGTGTGGCCTCAGCACACCCTGAAATGCTTTTCTGTCCTTTCCTATTTGAGGGCTGTTTGTTGACTGTGCATATATGCTCATTTGAAATCTGTTTCCTCTCAAATTCCCAGTGTACTGCCAACACTCAAAAAATTCAGCGTCTTTATTCTAAAACAGTCAGGCGACTGCATGGGTGTGCAAGCCTTGCTCACACCTCCCTACAGTCCTATCTGGAGAGGAGAAAAGGGGTCCCCAGAGCTGGCACTGGTGTCCATGAGGGGCCCCCATACCCACTCCTACTCCAAGTACCAGTACACAAAAGCCCCGTGGGACCAGGGCACTGGGTACAGGCCTGGCGTGCTCTCCGTGTGGCGCCCCATCCAGCCAGGCTCTGAGCCCTGTGTAACCTTTCGTGTGCCAAGGACTGGTGACACCCATGGACTCTTTCTCACAGTGGTATTTTTAAATACAAAAATAAAATACATAGGGCTACAAAGAAAACTAATAATACTGAAATACTTATCCAAATATTTTCAAAAACCCAGATGAGATTTATGGTACAGTTACGTAATGCATGTGCTTCTTTATTAATGACTATAAATCAGGATCTGGCCGTGGGTCTGGTGACTTCTGTACTTTTGAAGCAACACCGAGCATAAACAGTATTTCACATTATCTGCAACAACTCTAACGGGATGTGAACATAGCAGTGACTTCTGCTGGTGGCCAAGTCACCGGGGCTGCTGACCCTGCTGTGGCGTGTGGCCCACCTTTGTGACAGAGGAAAATGCTCCATTTCAGCGAGAGGGAAGGGACAGTGAAGGTGTGATTCTGTTCCTGACCCAGTTCACAGCCCCCCTTTACCCCCATTTCTGTGTGTGGACCCCTATTCTGTGTATGCTCAAGAACGCTTTTTCATCCCCGTCACCCATGTCCTTCCTCCTCCACAGCCCCAGGAAGGAGTTACACCCGCCCACCCCCACTCGGATGGTATGGGGCTGGCAGGAAGCTTCTTACCCTTGGTGGATGAGGAAAAGTGCTTTCTGAGGGTCCCAGGCCTGGGACAGAGGCAGCCCACATGCACTCATAAGCCCCCTCCCTTTTATTCTTGGAGGGGGCATCACAGAAAAGCGCTCTATGGCTCCATCTCCTCAATCCAGCCCCGGGGTACCACTCACACCGAGCGGCATCCCGTTGGCGGTTCGGAGGGTTCTGGCCCCTCGAATCACCCTCCCTTTCCCACACCTTCCCAGCCCACCCCAAAGCAAAAGCAAAAACTAAGCCTACCTTCTGGCTCTTCCACGCTGCTGGCGGCCGTGGTCGGTGGTGCCACGGGGATTTCTGTGAGGTTAAGGGTGGGAGGGAGAGCAAGCAAGGGAAGATGTTACTTTTGAACCTTGGAAAAGAATCGGGGCAGCACAGACCCCTCCCACTCTTCCTGCCCGTACCCCCTGTCCCCCAGCTCCAGAAAAGGACATCCAGGAAGGAGGAGACAGCCAGCCAGCCGGCCGGCATGGGGGCCCAGCACACTGCCTGTCCTCCTGTGAAAGCTGTCCCCGCACCTGGCAGGGATGTCAGTGCTCCTGGTTGTTGAGGGAGAGGGGGAGAGGCAAAAGGAACAGACAGCACGGAGAGCTGGCCTTGCCCCCTTGTGGGGGCTGCCAGGTGTTCATGCTTCAGTTCTGTTGTCTGTGTGTCCTCACCTTGGCTCAGTCCTTGAGGCAGTAGAGAGGGGCCGCCCAGGGTTCCCCTGCTCATCACCCTGCGGCTGCCTGGGCCCTGCTCACCTCTGACCCTGACCCATTGGTGGAGAAGGCACCCATGGCAGGTGTGGCATGTGAGGGGGCTGGGAGGTGCCCTACACAGGCAGAGAGAGGTCTACACCCCTGGCCCAGGTTCTCACGGGCACATCTCACAAGCTAAGGCATTGTCTCGGTGGATACAACTGACTGACAATAAGGAAAATCGAGGGGCCGGGTAGAAGTGTGCACTTTTGATTGGGGTCACTCCTTTTCTACCTAGAATGGTAATGAGTTCCCACTAGCTGCTGGGTCTAACCCTGTGCTCTGAAAAGGTGAGGGTTCAGCCAGTATCCAGGAAAGACCAGATATCACAGCTCCGGCTTCCTTTTTCTGAATGATGCCAAATCATGCACCAGAAGTCCCTGAGGGCCAGGGAGCTGCCACTCCTGGTAAGAGACCATGTGAACAGGGTCACAGAGGCCTCCACAAGCTCCACAGACTCTGGTCACCATCTGACTGTTGGGGTAAGACCTCCCTCAGACCCCGAGACTCTAGATCAGCTGAACCTGGAACCTTGGTGGATGGAGATGGACCACTCAGGCCTTGGGGCAAACCTAAGAATCACCCTCAGAAGCCAGACTTTGCCTCTCTAGGAAGCACTGGGCAGAGGACCCAGCCCGCAATTTGGAGACAAATCTTGCTCTCGGGGGATTTTTATCCACAATAACAACCAACAGAAGCTCTGCCACAGCAGGTCATTAAGGAACTAGACCTTGTACCAGGCCTTCTCTTAGCCCTCATGAGCTACTTGGTCCCAGCAGAAACATTCCAGAGAAAACCTCCGAACGGTCCAGACTAATCCTGCAAGTCCAAGGCCCCAGCTGAGGCCAGCAGCCACGGACCCACATTGGCTGCCCAACCCCAGTGCCTTAGGCCTGGCACGGGGGTGTATGGAGAGGGCCTGTGGTTCCCAGCGCCGTGACGAAACAGGACACGAGTCCCCCAGCCTCTGTCTGGGCACCTGTAGCTGGGTGTCCTCAGGAAGAGTTCACGGAAATTCCAGGATGGAGACCCAGGTCTTCAGGTTGTTGGTGGGAATGCGCGCACCCAGCTCAATCCGCCCTTCGTGTGAGGATGGGAGAAGGCAGAGAGGGGTCGAGAAGTGAGAGCTTCCGTTTCCCAGCTCTCTGTCTCTGATTCCGGAATGTCAGCTCCATTGCAAGGCGTTTCCCCTGGGTGCTTGGAAATGGTCGGTTCCAGCCATTTCTGAGCAACCTCACAACTCCTGACTCTCTTTATAACGGAGACCTCGCTTTCCCCCATGTTTTCATAATCCCAGACGGCCACACTGACGTCCCCCCAGAGCTCTAAAAATGTTCACTTTGCAGCTCTTTGGACAGACCGGAAAGAAGGATGTTAGCAAGCTCTGACAATTACAGGTTGTCGTGAAAGTCTTGCTCTGACCTGGAATGGACACTGAGCTCAGCCTCCCAAAGCTGAGATTTGGGTTATCTGCTGTTACTGGACCCCTATGGACATATCTCCTGATATCGAAACTGGTCAGAGAGCTGCTGGAACCGCCGCAGCCCCATGTGTTCTGGGAGCAAAGACCACACCCAGCTTAGGCAGGTGAGGTGCAGCGTATGTAAGGCTCCTGCTCAGAGTGCGTGTGGGGGCGTTCCTTGCAAGGTTGGTGGGGACTGCTCCAAGGACCCCAAGGAGCTGCTGGGTTGAGGGGTCCCAGCCTCTTGCTGTGTCCAAGGCTGTTCCAAGTCCTCGTGATTGACCGGAAAAGCCAGTGCCTTCCCAGATTGGAGGGACGCTGACACCCTGAGGCAGGGTTTGCTGACTTCTCCAGTAAAGGGCCAGCTAGTAAATGTTTCGGGCTCTGCAGGTCCCACAGTCTCTGTTGTAACTGCTCAGTTCTGCCATCAGAGCTCAAAAGTAGCCATAGGCAGCGTGTAAACAGCATGTAAACAGCATGTGTTCCCATAAAACTTTACTTAAGGACATTGAACTTCCATATCATTTTCACATGTCACGAAATAGTATTCTTTTGATTTTTGTTTCCATCGTTTCAGAAAGGTAAAAAAACAAAACAAACAAACAATAAAACCATGAAGCCATACAAAACCAGGCCGTGGGCCAACGCCGAGTCCAGGCGTGCTAACCCCACACTAAACAAGCAGGCTTCATCCCAGGGTCTGAGCGGTGAGCTGGGGTCCGCTCCTTTTTTTCACCCTTTTTTCTGGGTGTAGGCCAGTCCTCCACAGGGAATCAACAAGGCCGAGCTGGGGCCAGCTCTCAACCAGGCTTGATTTCCACCCAGGGCTAATTCTCTGCTCATGACGCCTCGTATGGGATCCTACCAGTTGTAAGATATTAAAACCCAGCTGAGCCAAGGCCTCTGAGTGACCCCCGCAACCCTGCTCACCTCCTCCCCAAGTTCCAGCAGCTAAGGAGTAACGGCTGGCCCGACAGGGCCTCCAGGACCCTTGGGGGTGCTCCCATCCCGCATAAGGACTGCAGGAGCCCTGCCCAGCTCCCTTCAAAGGTCATGTGGTGCCAGTCCTTTCTGTTCTGAGTCTGCCAGGGACGGGGTGTGTTGGAATTCCCATAGCAGCAATGGTGGCCCCTGGTTCAGACCCCCAGGTCCGGGGTCAAGCTGGCATATGGGAGCAGGACCTGGGCTGAGGAGAGGGCTTGCTTCCGCCCAGGAGCAAGAGACTCACTCTTTGTCAGGGCAGATAAGCCACAGACAGGCTGGCTCTGCTGGGCCCCGGCTGCTTCCGCAAGCACCCCACAGGCTCGGGGGGGGGTCTCGCATGGGGCCCCACTGAGCACAGATCAACACCAATGAACACTACACCTCCTGGATGTCCGTGACCAGCGTCTGGAAAGGGACCCCTCAAACCCCGGCACCCAAGCCAGAGCCTCAAGGGAAAGGGAGCCTGGCACATACTTATGCAGGGGGCGATGGGGGAGCGACTCTGCTGGTAGCCTTTGGCGCAGCGGTTGCAGGTGATGCCTGTCACGCCGTCCTTGCAGGGACACTGGCCGGTGGTTTGGTTGCAGGTTTTGCCAGCGGCGCCCACGGGATGGCAATCACAGGCTGTGGAGATCATACAACAGGAAGATCAGAGGGCAGGAAGGGGCCAGTGCACACCCTCCCCTGGAGCCCCTCCCCACCCAGGGGCACCCCATGGACCCACCTCAGGGGAAGAGCGGGAATGGGGGAGCAGGCCCAGCCAAGCCCACACACATTCCAGAAGCTCTGATAACTTGGCCACCTGCCTACCTGGAAATGGGGAACGAATATCAGAATAGACAGACTTGAAAGGGCTGTTTTGGCAGCAGGGAAGTGAATCTGGGGAGCCCTTCCAAAGGCTGAGAGAAAGGCCATGTTCAAATATGTTTTCAGGAATTCAAAGTCTGATCACGAGTGGAGGAGTGAAATTTGGGAGGCACACCTTTCCTCAATGGGTTTGTGCGTTCTCACTCCTGCGCCCCTGCCAGCTCCCGGCGCCCGGGCTTCCTCACTGACCAAGCCCTGGGCTTTGTCAGGTCAGTGGGAGTCACCAGGGAGGTGTGACCCCCGCCCCCTGGCTGCTGACCCCCATCTGCTCTGCCCACCCACCCTGATTTGCAGCTAGGAGTCTGAGGCTCAGGCTCACAAAACCCATAAACTGTAGCACTGGGAAGAGTCACAGTCATCATTTAAACATCTGATGAAATGCGAAAAGACTGGGAGGTGAAGGAACCTACCCCCGCGCCACCACCACCACCAGGGTCTCACAGAAAGGGAATGGCCAAGCTGGCCAGTGAAGGGAGGCCCCCATTCTCAGGCCAGTCAGTGGCTGCTGCACGGCAGAGCAGGCCCCACACCCCTCCTCCCGGTTTGCAATGGGCTGGAGAGCTGGGGCTGCCCACTCTGCCACACTGCATCCTGAAGCTCCCTCCCTGTGTTCTAAGGACCAAATCCTAGTGATGGGATGGCCAGAGGACATTGTGAAGACATCCCCACTGCTATGGACTGAATGTTTGTATCTCCCCCTTCAAATTCCTATGTTCAAGACCTAACCCCACAACGGGCTGGCATTCGCAGGTGGGGCCCTTGGGAGATAATTAGGTTGAGATGAGCTCATGTTGGGATTATAAAGTCAAGAGGAAGACAGAAAGAGATCTCTCCACAAGCACAGAGCAAAGAGGCAGCTGTCTGCAAACCAGGAAGCTGGTCTTCACCAGACAGTGAATCTGCAGACACCTTAAACTTAGACTTCTCAGCCTCCACAGCTGTGAGACATAAATATTTGTTGTCTAAGCCTCCCAGTCTGTGGGGTTTTTTTTGTTACAGCAGCCCAAGCTGACCAAGACACCCACCAACACCATGATGCTTGGGCAAGAGCTGCTACACCAAGATACAGAACCCCAGAATCCCCTGCTGATTCCTGCCTCCCTGAATCCAGACAATGGACTGAGTGTGTGGGTGGGGAAGGGAAGACAAGATGGAGGCAAATATTCTGTCTCTGCCCCTCCCCAGAAGCCGTCCCTCTCTTCAAGGGAAGCCCAATGTGTGTGTGTGTGTGTGGGGGGGTGTCTTCAGGAGGACATCCTGCAGCAATTTCAATTGGTGCCAGGAGCTGCCATGTATTTCTTCCCCAAATGGGAAAGAATTATCCAAGAAAATAAGTGAGAGCAGAAGCTCCTAGAAGAGCTAAATTAGAATTTCCCCAGCCAGCACTGCTGATCGCAAGGGCATGAGTCTGCGGATGAAGACATGGCCTCTCCCAGCCAGCCTTGGGCCCAGGAGTGGCCAATGAGGAGGGTTAGAAAGAGGAAGGCGGGAGGACGGGAAAACAGAAGGGAGAGGAATGTGAGAAATTGTGTGTTGAAGTTGTGTCTGGACACGTGAGTGCTTCTGGAAATGCTCGCAGTGGGGGTTCTGGTCATGGGCGCTCCCTCAGAGGTCAGAGGAGGGCAGGGGACACAGGCCTGGGACACCCAGCCGACAGCCTGGGGGACTGTCTGTGGGGTTCTCTCATTGCAGGAGCCACAGGGGGAAAAGGGGCTGTTTCAGTCTTGCCCCTGTAAATAGCAGTAAACCCTTTTGTTAGGAATTTGTTTTCTTACATCTACCCTGAATTCAAGCTCATTCCTTGTTTTTTCTTTCTTCCTCTCTTTATTCAGTAAGAAGAGACACAGGCTTGATGCAAGTTGTAGATGATGATGGGAGGAGGGGATGGTCAGAGAAGACCACCGACCTTTCCCTCTGGCCTCTTCAATACATCCCCATGACAGGAAGGGCAATCAAGCATGGGCAGCATCTCTAAAGTGGCCACATGAAAGCAGAGGGCCACAGCCCAGGACCCCACCATCCCGAGCCCCTGACGTGCCACCAGTCAGATGTGGACTCCTGAGGCTCCTGCCGGCTGACGTCCCTTGGCCTGCTTCACAGACTTTCTGGTAATCCTAAGATTCAAGCCAAGATGTCCTCCCCTCAATGCTGATAGAACACAGCTGTGCTCCAGTAACTTCGGGATCCTTGGACTTGGCTGGAAAGAGGGCACCAAGGGCTCCTTGGTAACTGATGGTCACTGGAGGGTCACAGCCAAGTCACCCATAGGCATCACTATTGGTTCAGGTCATCCTTACAGTGGCAAAAGCTGGCCTAGAGCAGAAATGGGGGGCGCAGTGGGAGGGCTGTGCGTCCTTCCCCCAAGGCCCCTCACAGCTGGTGACCTCTCAGCTGACGAGGGTTGGCGTGCAGCCAGGGATGAACCAGGCGCCAGCTGAAGGCCACTGGAGCTGAGAGCCATTCCTGGAGATGGCAGGGCGGCGGCTGTGCCTGCTCAGTAAGGCCCCATCCTTTGATTAAAGGAGGAGGTGATTTACTGCTTGGTTTACAGATCCTTCTCCTGAGATTCTGCAAAGACTCTGACCAACTGGCCCCTTGGCCTGGTCTAACGGAAGCGGCAGGCTGACTGTGCTTCCATGCAAATCACTGTTCTAGGAAGAGAAGCCATCAAGGTCCCAAAGGGTAAGGGTGGGGGGAGCTCAGAAGGCTGGTCAGGTCCCCTCCAGGGCAATGGGACCATCACTAGAGGTGGAGCATTCCTCCAGCACAATACCACCACCCAGGTACCTGTGAACCCCTTAGTACGTCCACATTCTCATACAGCTGCCCCCTCCGGTCCTCACACCAGCCTGCAAAAATTGGCATGACCACACAAAGGAGGAGACTGTGGATCAGCAAAAAAAATTGCAGGCAGAGGAAGGCCATGTGGGGGGTAGAAAGGGCTGATCTCTGAGCATGTCACGGAGGCCCACATCCTCTCTGGATGTCCCCTCTGTACTTCTCATTCTGCAAGGGGAAATTCGTGCTTAAATCTGTTGAAACCAGGGCTAGGTGGGTTTTCTGTTGTGCGTGGCCAAATACAATCGTCACAGGCAGACTTGCATTGCACTCAAATTAAGGACTTTTCCCAAAATCCCATGAATAAGGAAAGCCCAAATTATCTAAAGAAGGGCGTACTTCAAGGCGTGGAGAGAACTGATGGATGACAGCTCCCTACAGTGGGTTCTTCTACAATCTAGGGCAAGGGAACCTGGCAAGCAGTGTCAAAGGAAGGAGGTCCGAGCCACCCGCCAGTTACAAAGGAAGCCCCAGGCCCTGGCCCTTAGTGAGAGAAAGCCCAAGGGAGCCTGCTGTATTCCCTCAACCCTGACACACACAGACGCAAATAGAGACACACACACATGCACAGTGGGGAGGGGAGGGGAGGGGCTGAGCTGGGGAGAATGTGGAATTCAGTTGAGGGAAGGTCCTCTCGTTTGCAGGGGGTCTGGTGAGAAGATGAGGAGAGAGTCTCCCTGATTCTGAGAACTTGGTTTGGGTCAGAACATCTTCCGCCACAGGAAGCTGACGGGGTGACCGCCATTTCCCTGGAAGTCAGCCACTCTTTTCAGCGGAGGTCAATCCCTTCCACGGCAGGTCACCCCATGTACACGGTGCAGGCAGCACCTGGTCATAGGAAACAATCTACCCCAGGGTTTTTCCATCAAGAGGAAAGTGAGACCAGACGGAAGCCCAGGGCCCTGAGAAGGCGGCAGGATTAGGTTTCTCACGAACAAGGCAGGCTGGAGGGTCTCCAGGTGCAGAGGAGCCAGGCTGCCCTTGGTCTGGGCCATCAGACAGGGAAAGGAGATCGGGGCACACAGTAACACTGTGTGACCCCGGGTTAGTGCTTCACTCACTCTGGGCCTCAGGTGGCTCACCCTGTAAGGACAGAGGTCTATACTCCCACTAAAGTCACTTCCAACCTAACAGCGTAAGGTTTGGTGTCTATATGGCTCCACAGATGGGGGTGGCGGCCTGGACCATCACCCCCACTGCTGCAGTTCAGTGCAATGTCCTGGCCAAGGGTGCAAGGAAAGTGCTCACTCATGCTGCAGACACATCAGGCCTTCCGTCCACACCCACTGATTGCCCTGCCCAACACCTCTGCCCACTGCATCGTGCTGGGATCTCTTTGCCAAGACTTGGTTTCTCTGTCAGTTAAAAGAAGTGTGCCCAGGGTCTCCGAGATCCCCGGCAGAGCTGACCTGGAAAGCAAACAGTCCTGATCCCAGGCTCCTGGTCTCGAGCAGCTGCCTTTCCCTGTTCCCTCCGATGTTCTCTGTCCTGGATCCCGAAGGGCCCAATAGCCTTCCTCAAGGGCAGATGCCCCCTGTCACTGCAGCTCCCACTGTGGCTTTTGGAAATCCACCCTGGGCTCCTAACAGGAGGCTACTTTTCCCGAGGCCCTGGCTCCAGGGGCCCTTGGGGTTCAGGCAGGACCCTCAAATGGCAGTGATCCCAGGGCACATGCTTGTGAAAGAGAGGGGAGCTGGCTTAGTGCCCAGACCCCCCTGGAGCAGCTCTAGACAGGAGTGGGGAGAAGGAACAACCACAGCACCGCTCCTCACTTCAGCTGTCATCACAACTACCACCCAGGCCACCAGCCAGGCATGAAGGATAGCTTTGGGCCTCACCTCATGTCATGCACTGAATTATGCATCCCCACCACCCCACCCCAGAATTTTAATGTTGAAGGCCTAACCCCAGTACCTCAG